TCATGAGAGCAAGGACTTAGTCTTTGAGCGTCTTTTGGAATCCTTGGAGCATCTTTGGAATCACTGGAGGTCAGGAGTTCAAGACTAAGACTAAGAGAGTGTGATTCTATTTTCTTTCTTTCTTTTTATCTTTTCTGTAACTGGAACCTAACTTCTCAGGGATAAAACCACTTTTCTCCCAACTCACTTGTCTCCTAATTCTTTGATTCTTGAGATGAGTTCTGGGAATATTTTTTGCTCATTTTTTACTTTCTCCAAACTACTGTTCCAGTGTCGTCTTTAAACTTCCCCCCGATCCTGCCTTCATCTTGGTACTGTCTTACAAGTTTCCAGGACTCTATTCTTTCTTCCTTGATAATTGTAATTTCTGGCTCACAGTCTCCTCTATCCCATCTGCCTCGTTATACTGGTTTGATGTTACTTTTAACCCTAGTTATTCCTTGTACTCTCAAGCTCTATCTTTAACTATCCACAGGCAGGGTCAGATCCTGGAATCATCATGGGAGTTGTTTTGCCTCTGTCAGGAGCTCTAAATTTCTGCTTTCTGACTAGTGGATGTTTCACTTCTATACAGCTCTTAGGTGTTAGGAAGTTTCTCTGTTGTAGTCCTTCTTAAAGTTTTGTGTGCTTAAGAATCGCCTGGAGATACTTGTTAAAGCCCGAGATCCCGACTCTGAGTCCCACCCTCAGAGGTAGTAACATGAGCATTTCTGTCGTCTTCCCAGGTCATGATGCAGATCTGTGCACCTACATTGAGGAGCACGGCTCTGATTAGCACTTCTCCCCAAACGACCAATCCCCAAACTTCCCAGAAACAGGTCAAATTAATTTTTTTTTTTTTTTGAGACAAGAGTTTCACTTTGTCATCCTTGGTAGAGTGTTGGGTGAGTACTAGTACTAAATAAAGTGAAAAGCCTTGATTCACTTTCTTTTTTTACTTTCTAGTCATGACCTCTGTAATTACACAGGTAAGGCCTTCTGAGGAGAGCTCACTTTATTTTCTTTACTTAGAATGAGAATTTTTCTCTTTAGGCTTTTCATGTTCTTCTCTTTTTTCCATCAAGGCCATTTTCTTCTCCTTACTCTTTGTCTCATTTTCTCATGGTGATGTTTGGCTCCTTCTTATCTATTAACATTTTTTTGTGTTGGATTATCAGTTTCCTTTTCTTTAGTAAATTAGCCTTTCAGCCTTCAGAAATGGTCACATAAGCCCCTTGCCTCAAAAATACTCCAGTTCTCTCCCGTCTTCCCTATGTCAACCTTTTTGGGAAAAAAAGTAAGGCCTTAACTTCATCATAACTATGTCTTGATTTCTTACAGTCTGTTTTGGTGTCCAAAATTTTACTGGACTCTTGACCTAAATGGTTCCATGACTAACTACTGGGCCTTAAACTCTGCAGTATTTTGATGATAATTATCCTTTCCCTTTTAAAAATTTTCTGCTTTTGCTTTTTAGTCATTTCTTTTTTAAGGTTTCACTATTCTGATGACTTAGTGCTTATTCACGTGACACTGTTCAATCCCGCTACTTTTTCTTGAAGTTTAAAATGCTTTTTCCACTATCTAAATCTAGGCTAATATGAGAGCCACTAGCCACACATGTGTATTGAATAAGCACTTGAATATGGCCTGTTTACACTTATGTATTCTGTGAGTATAAAATACACACTAGATTTTCAGTATTTAGGATCAGAAAGATAATGTAAAATATCTCACTAAGTTTTTAAAAAAATAGATTGGATGTTAACACTTTCTCTATATTTGGTTAAGTAAAAAAATTGCTAAAATTAATTTGATCTGGCCAGGTGCCATGGCTCACACCTGTAATCCTAGCACTCTGGGAGGCTGAGGCAGGTAGATTGCTTGAGCCAAGAGTTCTGAGGCCAGAGACCCTGTCTCTAAAAATAGCTGGGCGTTGTGGTGGGCGCCTGTAGTCCCAGCTACTTAAGAGTCTGAGGCAAGAGAATCACTTGAGCCCAAGAGTTTGAGGTTGCTCAAGGATGACAAAGTGAGACTCATGTTTCAAAAAAAAAAAAAAAATTAATTTGACCTGTTTGTTTTTCCTTTAATTATGGTTGCTACATTTGTGGCTTGCTTTCAGTTAGATGATCTAATACAAGGGGTGGGGTAGAGGAATGAAGGATCAGGGAGAGGGGAGGAGGGAAGGGGATGGGGAGTTATGGTGTATGGCACACCTCTTGGGGTGGGACACAATTACAAGAGGGACCTAACAAAGGCAATATGTGTAACCTAATTCTTTGTATCCTCAATGAATCCCAAACTACTAAAAAAAGAAAAGGAAGTCTCATCTCTCCTTAAAGACCTGGATCAGTTTTCCATCTACTGAGTATATATTCCGTTTATGAATTACAGCTGTAGTCTTCTTGAACCATTTACTCCCCATTTAAATCCTCTCCCGTTCCCCAATTACATTCTAAGCTTCTTCAAAGCTAGAGTCATTCCTCATGGTGTCTTTCATACAGTAGACACTATGTGTATATATATATTATACATGCAAAATATCAGAAAAAATGACTTGGCTTATATTACCTCTTTATCAAAGAGGATACTTCCAAAATTTGATGACTGTTTTGTGTTTTTGCATAAATTGGTGAACAGTAGGAGGGATTGGTGTGAGGGGGAGAAGATAATACTTTACTGTGAGCTGTTAATATTCAACATGTGTATCCCGTAGGTGTATCCAGCCACCCCAGACCATTCTGATTACTCTGAACTGCTGTGATAGTACTGCCATCTGGTGTCAGAATTAGGGACCTGTAGTTCAGCATTTTTTCTCTTTTTAGTGAAGAAGGGAGGCAGTCTTTCTACTGAAAGTGGGCCTGCTTTTCTCTATCCCCTAAGCAAGTTAACAGTTACGAGCTAATTTAATTTCAACGTAGGAAACTTTTATTCACTTTCTTGGAATACTCTTTCCATGGCTTCCCTGACAATATACTTTTGTTTTTCTCATGTTTCTCTGGTTGTTCTTATGTTCTTTTTTGATATCCCGTTTCTCTTTTCATGTTGTAGATTTTTAGCCTTATCGTCTTGGCCCTCTGCTCTTATAATCCTTTGTTTTCATCTATACCTATGACTTTAAGTACTGCCTATCTACAAACAAATTGATACTGATAGTGAGAGCTCTCCTTGAACTTGAGACTAGTATCTCCAGTTACTTGCCTAGATGTTACATGAACAGCTTGAATTTAAGATGCTTCTATGTAAATGTGAATCTCTCAGCTGTGTCTTCATTTTTAATATTTGTTTCCTCATTTCACTAATCTCTCATACTAAAATTCTGGGAATCAGCTTGGCATCCTGGTAACTTTAATAAAACATAAATCACATTCCGCTGAGTCTAAAAGGTACATTCTTGTGCATGTAATATTTGTGACCCTCCCTTGCTCTGTCCCATCTAATTTATCACCATCCCTTGGCTGGGCTAAACAGGCCTCTAATCAGCGTCTTTGCATCCATTCTGAATGGCATTCACCTGTTTTGTGTATTTGTTTAGTGTCAGCCTTTCCTACTAGCCTGAGAATTCTGTGATGACAGTGACTGCATGCATTTCGTTCACCATTGAGTCCCCAGCATGTGGTATAGTTCCTGAAACCTGTTTGTTTAATATGTATGTGTATGTGGCTAGCCAGTGAGTGATGTTGGTATGATCCCTCTAGTTTTAGAGATTAAACTTGAATATTTTAGAATTGTTTATTTCTGTATTAATGCCATATTCAAGCTATTTATCATAAATGAAATTAAATTATTTTCTCAGGGAAACTTACTTATGTCTGCAGAAGCAATGTATATTGGGTATTAATCAGCTAGAGTGGCCATGGTGGCTCCTGCTTGTAATCCCAGCTTCATTATGCCAGGAGTTTGAGACCAGCCTGGGCAACATAATGAGAAGTCATCTCAAAAAAAAAGGAGAAAAGTTAGTGTTCAAGTGAACTTTAGGACAATGGCCTATTTATATACTGAGGACTGCCAGTCAATATGCTAAAGTTGAATTTCCAGAACGTGAAATTCCATGCCCTGAGTTTGTATTTTGATATTCTTCTGTGTGAACTTTAATATTCTTTGATTTTAATATGGAAGTACATTTATTAAATCATCAGTTAAAACCTTTTTGATGTTAAGTGTTCTTTGAATAGAGGTTCATGTCTTGATTGTTACAATAATCAAATCAATAATTTTGATTTGCTTTGACATTTTAAAAGTGGTTTTGTTTTATAAGGTTTTACGTGTAGGGCTCGGTGTTTTGAGTTGATGGTACTGTTTAATAAAGAAATTTAATTTATAAAAATAGAGATGATTCTTAAAAAGTTGATATTTAGAGATGGACAATAATCAATATACTAAGGATGCAAACTCACAAAGCAAAGATCTCACTGATAGGTACCAGGGTCTGTCAATATTGGCATTTTGAACTGAATAGTTTTTGGCATTTATGTGTATTGGGAGATGTCCTGGGCATGGTAGAATTTTAGCAGCATCCCTCGCCTCTAGTAGCACACTCTCCTGTCCGTTTATAACCAAATATGCCTCTAGATGTTGACAGATTGTCCCTGGGGTGCAAAATTACACAGCACTAAAACTAGTACTCTCTGTGCCTTAGAAGAAACAGGAAATGTATCTTTGGCATTCCTAGGTGTCATTGAGAGTATGGTAGCTGGGTGGTGTATTGTTAATGGCAAAGAGAAGTAGAGAAAGTATGGCTATATATTTTTACATTTTAGAATTTGTGTTTGCTTAGAATACAGTGACTTTTGCACTTAGGCAGTTGGTTCTATTCCAAACTAAGAAAAAGGATGCATGTTAAATCATTTTTCACTGATAAAATTTCATTTAACTTAGTTTAGCAGTTAGGCGATGGTAGAAAAAAGGGAACCACAATTGCAAAGTCAAGTATAGTTTTATTATCAGAGTTTTTGCCATTGTGTTTGTATATATAGGATACAAGTATAATCAACTTAGTATATGTGTTTCTTTTTCCAAAGGGACATGAGAGATGGCTTTAGAAGAAAAGGTTTCTACTCTTCCCATTATGGAAGAGACCGGTCTCCTCATAAAAGGGATAATTCATTCTTCAGAGAATCACCTGTGGGCCGAAAGGATTCCCCGCACAGCAGATCTGGCTCCAGCGTCAGTAGTAGAAGCTACTCTCCAGAAAGAAGCAAACCGTACTCTTTCCATCAGTCTCAACATAGAAGTATGTATTTTTAAGACTTTTCCTTTTCCTTTCACAGGCTCTATAGATGAGAATGGACAAAGTTAGATTGCCTTTAGGTATCGTAAGAGATACTATTTTCTTTTTATTTTGAAAAATTTGAAACTTATAGAGAAGTTGAAAGACTAGTATAGTGAACACCACACATCAATTTTTTCGAATTATTTGAAGTCACAAATCTGCATGACATTTCACCTTTAAATTCTTCAGCATGTAAAAAAGGTCTTTGTAATCACACCTTGAAGTTATAGACTCTCGTATTTTCTGGTAATTCCAGCCTGTTTATTCTTATATCATTAGATGTGTCTGTATATATCTAATCTATATCTATTTCTGTTTTTCATTAGAAATATCAGTCATCTTCTCTAAATAATGTGGCATAGCCTTGGAGAATTTAGAGCAGTGGTTCTCAACTTTCCTAATGCCACGGCCCTTTAATACAGTTCCTGTGGGTCACGACCCACAGGTTGAGAACTGCTGATTGAGAGCTAAAACCCACCTTAAGTACATTCTTTTCTAACCCCCTCCTCCCTTTTTAAAGTTTGGAGTGCCTACACATGCATAGCATTCTGTGCACTCCCAGCAGCTCTTCTGCCTGAGTTGCTTGTATTGGGATATATAAATGAAACAACCACTTTTCTAGATAAAGCATTCTTCTATTATCTTTCTAGACTAGCCCACAGTGATGCTCGTTCACAAAACATTGCTTGTGCTTCGCACTGTGCTAAATACAAAGATGTCCCTGTCTCTCAACTTGAATCTATGTATGTATATTTTCTACCAGCTGATCACTTTATCAGTATGTTAATATGTATAAAATGTAACTTTTATTTAAGAAATGGTATGTCATAAGTGAGTTAACATGAAATGAGCATGTGAAAGTGAGAGATTAATTCTTGCTGTGGGAATGGAAGAACATGTCAGGAAGGAGATGACAGTTGGACTCAGCCTTATTTCAGATTTTTACAAGTGAAGAAATAACTTCTAAGTAGAAGGAAGTATGAGCCAAGATACAGAAATGTCCAGGATATTTCTTTTTCTTTTCTTTTTTGAGACAGAGTCTCATTTCATCAGCCTCATTAGAGTGCAGTAGCTTTATAGCTCACAGCAACCTCTTGGGCTCAAGTGATCCCCTTGCCTCAGCCTCCCAAGTAACTGGGAGTACAGGTGCCTGCTACAATGCCTGGCTCTTTTCAGAGATGTCTCACTCTGGCTTAGGCTGGTATCAAACTCATGAACTCAGGTGATACACTTGCCTTGATCTCCCAAAGTGCTAGGGTTACAGGTGTGAGCCACTGCACTGGGCCTTCTTTTTTCTTTTCTTTTTTACTTCCTTCTTATTAACTGTCTTTTTCTAATAACAAGAATTTTAATTTAACAGTCTTTGCCTCCTGCATGACGAGAGTAATGGAAGGTGACTAGGAGTCATCAGATTGTCTTCTGTGCAAGCTGTTGCTAGATTCTTATATTTAGAAAACATTTACCAATTGTCTATTATTTCCAAAGATAGACAGAGTGGGGCTTCCCAGAAGACATATTTTTGTGTATGAGTATGTGAATGATCATGTAGGAGGTAAGAATATATTTTGAAGGATTTAAAAGAAACAGCTTAAAATATACTCAGTGTAAACTGTAAGTAACTTGAATAGAAGTTTTTCTACTGTGAAGTTTAATGTTAACAATAATTTTCTCTTTTGCTTTTATACTCCCCCCCCACCAACCACGGGGGGGGGGACCCTCAAGAAGATAAACGACGTCTCAGCTCTAACATCTATCTACAAACATATCCAAAATTAGCCAGATAACTTCTAATAACTTTTTTGTTCAGTGTGTATTGACTTAAATCCAAATCTAATAATGGTTTGATTAAAGAGGAGGAAAGTATGTTTGGAAACTGATTATGAAGACTTCGGCAGCTTGTCGTGAAGCTATTACAGATAGTTATTGACAAATTAACCTTATTTTCCCATCTTCCCTCAAAAGCGTATTTCTGGGAAGAGCATGTTCTCTCTGTTGATCTGCTTTCAGCCACTTAGTGGCTAAAACTAAAATCTTGAGATGAAATATGGGTAAGTCACAGTGCAGTGCTCCTGTCTTAGGGTCTCCATGTACTTTTTCCATCTTTTGAGATCTAATACCTTTTATATCTGGAGTGATGAAAAGATAATAAAGTTGGGAGACTAAAACATGGGATAAATGGAATGAAACAGTGCATAGGGCTTTATTAATTTCTGCAGGTTTATTTTCTTTGGTCATTTAGTTTTGAAAGTAAAGTTCTTTAATCAGGAAAAACGTTTGTTATGGGAAAACTCTTTTTACGTGTTACCTTGGTTGATTCTTTAACTACTTGGGCTGAACTATGAAAATTTTCTCTGTATTCCTTTCATGTGTACAGAACAGTTACGTAAAATCATCTTGTAAAAAGTTAATGGAGAGGACTAGGCATGGTAGTTCTTGCCTGTAATTTTAGCACTCTGAGAGGCTGAGGCAGGAGGATTGCTTGAGGTCAGGAGCTCAAGACTAGTCTGAGCAAGAGTGAGACCATCCCACATCTCTGCAAAATAGAAAAATTAGCTTGCATGGTGGTGTATAACTGTAGTCTCAGCTACTAGGGAGGGTGAGGCAGGAGGCTTGCTTGAGCCCAGAAGTTTGAGGTTCTAGTACAGTGGTTCTCAATCTTCCTAATGCCATGACCCTTTATACAGTTCCTATGGGTTCCGACCCACACGTTGAGAACTGCTGTTCTAGTGTGCTACGATGATACCACTGCACTCTAGTGGAGATGACAGAGCAGATTCTGTTTCCCCCCCCCAAAAGTTAGTAGAGAAATCTTGTTTTAAACAGCAAATGGAAAAAGTAATTATTTTACATACTTATGATAACCATGTTTTCACTTTAAATCTCAATGCCACAAATCACCTGACTTTTCTTCAAAAAAGGACTGAAAAACAGGGTTCTTCAATTATCACTTAAGCTAGATTAATTAACAATGTGTTAAAGTTTAGTTTTCTTTTCTTTTTTTTCTTTTTTCGAGACAGAGTCTCACTTTGTCATCCTTGGTAGAGTGCCGTGGTGTCACAGCTCACAGCAACCTCCAGCTCTTGGGCTTAGGCGATTCTCTTGCCTCAGCCTCCCAAGTAGCTGTACAGGTGCCCTATTTTTTTGTTGCAGTTTTGCCAGGGCCGGGTTTGAACCCGCCACCCTGGGTATATGGGGCTGGCACCCTACTCACTGAGCCACAGGCACCACCCTGAAGTTTCATTTTCTAATGTAAATTGAAATTTTGACAAAGTTTTTTTGGGTTTTTTGTTTGTTTCTTTCTTTTTGAGAGACCAGAGTCTTACTCTGTTGCCCTGGGTGGTGGTCAGTGGTGTCATCATAGCTCACTGCAACCTCCAACTCCTGGACTTAAGTGATCCTCCTGCCTTAGCCTCCCAAATAACAGGTACTCGCCACCACACCTAGTTAGTTTTTCTATTTTTAGTAGAGACAGGGTCTTGCTCAGTCTGGTCTTAAACTCTTGAGCTCAATGGGATCCTCCCTCCTTGATCTACCAGAGTGCTAGGATTATAGGCATGAGCCACCCTGTCCAGACCCAGTAATAGTTTTGTTACAGATCTTAGTTTTCTAATTCATTAACTTACAACTTTTTGCATTTTGTTCATGCTTTTTGGAAATGTTTCCTATTCTAGTGATCACAAGTGGTTTGGCCCAGGGTAACTTAAGGACTCTTTCTTCATAATTCTTGTATGCATCTTTCTTATGTTCTTAATTATAAGCCATAGAGTGATTTTACCACTTTTTTACTTCAACTGCTTATTTCCCATTTTGTGCTGACACACACATGCATTCATGCACTAATACACTTAAATTTCTTCTACTTAGTCTTTTGGTTACTCTTATAGACCTTTATATCTCTTATAGACACACTAATTATCCTTCTAGTTCAAACTGTTGTTTTTATACTGTGCTTTACTTACAGGAATTTTCTGACTTTAACTTAATTGGGCCAACCTGACCATAGCCGTGGATGCAATATTACTTTTGGTTCCTTTTGTTCATATTTACATGACAGCAGTGCAGGTTTTCCTACTTAACCTCATTTCCTTTCTCCTGTTTTATTATGGTACTTTCCTAGTTAGAATTGTTTTGTTGTGTATACCCTAAATATTTTTACTTGAAGTTTATTTCTGTTACAATTAATATCTCTACATTTGCCAACTCTCCAGTATTTATTTTCTTTTTGTCCTCTCTTTTAGATAAATCTCATATTTTCCTATCTACACTATGTCATTTAGTTTTTGTTTAGGATAATAGCATTAAAAGTGATCCACACACATTCTTTTTTAAAGTACCTTGTATGATAAGTTTGTTAAATCACCATCTAGTTCTTCCACCTTTAGATAGCTTAATCTTTATAAAAATAATATCTCTCCTGTAACATTTTCTTAATACTAGTTATTTAGATAGACACACATCTAGACACACACTAGGACCTCTGTAAGTTGACCACCCACAAGGGACTGTAACAAACTGGTCAAATAGGAGCCAGGCCTATTGTACTGATACATACATGTGATACATGTTCAGTCTATGAAAATTAGCTCAACTTAAGGAGGTGGTCAACTATGGAGATTCTACTATATATACAACGACAGATAGTTAAGTTCCTAAGCTCATCATAGAAAAAGTGCTCCATACCTGCTTGCTGATTATCATTATGGTCATGTTGGAGGTACTCCCCTTGGGAAGCAATGCATTGCCTCGTCTACCCTTCATCACAGCTTTAGAACTCTTTCTGGAATGGCCGTCAGAGCTGTTATCGTAGGGGCTGTGACAGTTGAGTTCAAGCACGTATTCTATTAAAAGTGCTACCTTCCTCATTGCTGAAGGCCACTTCCCTTGGCCATCTGGTGACCTTAGTATTCAGCAATGAGGTGTGTAGCACTTTTTCTAGGACAAGTTTGGGAACTTAATTGTCA